GGACCCCAAGTTCTCTCCAGGTAGCTGGCACCCCCACATCCACCCCCGTAGGTACAGAAACTACCTGTGTCCCCTTTCTCCCTAGAGACACAGCAGCAGTGCAGTACCAAGGAGAACAGAGCTGGGGGCCAGGAGGCCTGGGTTCTGGTCCCAGCTGTACCCCTAAGCTGCTGTTGGCCTTGAGCAAGCCACTGACCCTCTCTGGGCCTCAGTATCACCACCTATTGGATGAGGTGTGGGTCGCACTGCTCTCTGAGCCCCATTCCTGCTCCAGTTCATCCACATGAACCACATGTGGGAGACTGGAGCCGGACGGCAGTGCCAGCACCAGACAGACGGTTCTGGGGAAATGTTCGCAGTCTGCAAGCCTGTCTGGGACCCCACCGCCCAATTATAGTGTGATGACCGCCTGTGGGCTAGGCGCTCATCTGTCCTGCACCTTGAGGTTTACAAAGCTCTTTGCACACCCTCCTCATTTAGTTCTTACAACCACCCCATGAGGTTCAGAGAGGGACAGGATGGGCCCAGTCCCAAGTCAGTGGAGCATCCATGCTCCCAGTGTTCTGCGCTAACACCACCACCCTGGGCCAGGCCTGTGGCCCAGCTGCCTCTTCCACAAAATGAAAAAGACACAGGATCTGCAGTGCAAGTCCTGACCTTGCCCCCTTAGCAACCCTGAGAAACGGGGGGGTACCCTCTCAAGAACGTTGCTGAGCCATCATGAAAATCCAACAGCATAAAAGATGCCAAGAGCACGCAGTGCTGGCCAGGGCAACAGCCCACTGAGCAGAAAGAGCACTGCACAGGGAGCCCAGAGCCTCACCCTGGCGCTATGCTCGGGAGAGCCTGGGTTTCCCCATCTGTCAAACAGGCAAGAATGCCGCCCCCTGCAGGACAGCTGTGCACTTGCTAAACCTACCCCTGTCCCATCTGTGCATGGCTGGCGTTTGTGTCTGTGACCATCACCTCAGCCAGGACGGATGGAGAGGCCACGCCCTCTCCACACACAGCCCAGCTTGACTCACTGCACCAAAAAGCCAGGCCTGGGCACAGAAGCTGCTCAGGCAGACGTGCAGACCCTCGGCACACGCACACAGCACACGGACGTGCAGATGGGCACGCATGCACACTCAGATGTGTACCACATACCAAACATACTCAGACACACATGCCACGCTGTGCACACACACACTGCAGCACATGGACCACAAACGCACACATGCACAGGTGGCTTCCTGTGATGCTCACACTACAGACAAATATGCATAGATTTTCCTGCCTCTCCTGTGACAGCCAGATGGTGGGACTCTCCCAGAGGGCTACCATTTAATGCTCTAATTAATTAAAAAAAAAATCCTAGGTACCCAAGGCCTGGGTTTGTTCCCAGTGTCCCAGGCATGGCCCAGCCCGAGGCCAAGGAGGGAAGCAGGACCTAGGGGGAGGGGCTGTGGGGTCAGGGAGGGCAAGGGGCTCCCCCTGCACCCTCACCTGGGGGATTGATGCCTAGCTTCGTAAAGGGGCTGGGCTCAAAGGCCGTCTGCCCAGACATGTGCCTGATCCTGGTTCCAAGAGCACCCCAGCTCGGGGAGAGACCCCCCGCCTCACAGCATCCCTGCCAGGGTTGACTGGCCCCACCTGCACACCTCAGCAGACAGGGAGCTCGGTCCCTGAGGAGGTCGCCAGGGCTCCTGTCAGACTGCACTGCAGAGGAAGGTGTTCACGGACACCAAGGTGGACTCGGGCTCATGTCCAGATCCAAACTCGCCCTTTGACAAGCCCTGATGTGTGACTTCAAGGCATGTGGGAGGAAACAAAGCACAGAGCCACTGAAGTCTGCCGCGTGAGATGGATGAGGCGGAAAGATGATGGGCCGGTCCAAGGGACTCGAAATGCTCCCTGCCCTCCCGCTTACACACCTCCAGCGAGGGGGAGCTCACTACATCTCCAGGCAGCCTGCTCTGATTCGACCAGAGTCCATCCTCACCCAGCCTTCCCCTGCAGCCCGCCCCAGTCTCTGCCACGTGGCCCCAGCGGTGCAGGCTGGCAGGAGCGGCCCGGTGCGCCCTCCAGGCCTCTCCTCTGACTTTCCTGGGGGCACGTTCTTTGCTGCTGAGTGTTTGGGAAAACGCAGCAATAAATTTACCGCCTCACTTATGAGTAATTTGCTGTCAGGAGCTCTGCGTAAGCAGAGGGCTGAATTAACAAGGCTTAATTAACATTAATGTTGTGACAGATCTCAACTGGAGTCAGAAAATCCCCCATCCTCGCAGCCCAGGCCCTTGCCTGCTGCTTCCCTGCTCACGTGGGAGGTGAGAGGCCCAGCGAGGACTCAGAGCGGCTGACAGACGTGACCGGGGGTTGCCTCTTTCCCAGGATTAGGAGGGATTTGGGACCTGGGGGCCAGAGGCTGCAGGAGATCAGCACAGGATGCCAGAAGCCTCTGCAACGCCAATTCCAAAGGAGCTTTCAGGCTGTCTTTCGTCCCTGCCCAGCACAGTGGCAACGCATGGGAGTGCGAGAGACCAGTGTTTGAACCTGCCTCTCACATGCTGAGGGAGCTTGGGGTGAGTCACCCACCTCCCTGTGCCTCACCATCCCTGCCAGCAAAGGGACAGGACAAATCGCCCCTCCCAGGGCTGTCAGAGGCTTCACGAGGTCATGCAGAGGCACTCCGGGGTCTCTGTGTCCTCCACCCCATCATGAGCACAGGAGCAAGCAATAGTGAGTGATGACTGTGTGCTGTGCTCACACCTCATTTAATGCTCCCGACAGTCCTCTGACTTAGGGACCCTGAGAACTCCCCATACAGATGAGGACACCAAGGTTCTGGGAGGGGAGGGGATTTGCCCAAGGTCACACAGGTGGTCAGCGGGGATGAGGGGACTACAGCCACCCCCTACACTCACTGGAGAGCCCCTGGAAGGATCCAGAGAGCCAAGATGAGGGGAAAGGTTAGGCAGTGGGGGCCATGCTGGGGTGCACACAGGGCCCAGCAATAAAGTCTGTGGAACCGATCTGTGAATGATGGAGGAATGGGACAAGTGTCCCACCAGAGGCCCAGGTACCTGCTTTTCAACCCCTGAGACTTTGCTAAGCCGCACCCCTGGTGCCCAGCCTCCGCCAGGCTCCAGGAAAGAGACAAAGGCAGTGGAAGGTGCACCTCGCTCCCCGGACTGCTACTGCCTCTCGGCTTTCCCCAGGGCGCCCAGCCAGCTCCAGCACGGGCAGGCGGGCACTCTGCAATTTATCATTAATGATTGCACTATTCATATTAATGGGGAGGGCACCTCTGACCAGAACCCAGTTTAAGAGGCAGCAGGAAGGAGGCCCAGCCCCTGGCCCAACACCGCAGGCCCCCAGCCATCGCCCTGCCCACATCTCAGGTTGCTCACAGGACGGGCGTGTTAAGGCCCTGGGGCTCCACCTGGAGCACAGCCACACCCTAGTCTCCATCCAGGGTGCAGGAGCGGCTCTGGGTCCCAGGCCCCCCACTCTCACCGGAGGGACCGCCTAGTTGGAGACTTGGTATCAAGGATCTGCCTGGGAGTCAGGGGTGGGAGGATAGGGGCAGGGGCAGTCTCCTCCAGAGTGTGACCCCTCCTCAGCCCTGCCAACCCCACATGCCCCAGCCCTGCCACAATGCCCTGCTCCAGGAGGCCTTCCTGGACCCCAGCCTACCCCCCACCCGACCCAAACAGCAGCCACATGGCCTTGACGAAGCCCCGCATTACTTTCTAGCTCATTCTGTCCTCTCTAAGATGGGAGATAAAAACACTACCTGTCTTACGGGGCTGAAGTGAGGACGAATGAGAAACTGCCCGGCACTGGGCGAGGGCTCAGTGAATGACAGCCACGATTGCCAACCACCAGAGATCCGTGGAGACCCAGCCCGTCGGGGGCCACTGTGGCGCTGGGTGGGCTTGGGGTGTCTCTGGTCTCCACACGGCTGCTCTAAGGCAGCAGGATCAGCCAAGGGGCTCTGCATGGCCCCTGCAGCAAGGCCTGGGACCCATGGGGCCTCTCTGGACAGAATCAGAAAGATCTTTGCTTCTAGAAATAGAAAGAACTGCCTTATAAAGAAGTGAGTTCTCCATCCCAGGAGGCATGCAAGCAGGGAATCCGTCCATTCATTCAACAAGCATTCACTGGGCCCCTCCTCTGTGCTGCGCCCTGTGTTGGGCACTGGGGGGTGGGGTGGGGGGCCTGAGACCCAATCCCACCTGGAGAAACCCACACTCTCAAAAGGCAAGAGACGCCGAGGGTGCCAAATCAACGCCGCCTGAGGCCTGCCCGCCCCGAGGAAAGTGTCAGACCCTGGAGAAAAGGCAGGAGGCCCCTTGCCACGAAGGGGGCTTGCGAAACACCCCGGCAGCTCAAGGAGGGGCTGCGCTCCGGCCCGGCAGACGTGAGGTCAGGCCCCAGCCTGCTCCGAGCCCCCAGCGCCCCACGACCCCGAGGGTTCTCTTTGGCCTGGTGCACAATGACCATAGCTCAGCACCAGCCCCCAGAGCCCCTGCCCACCCGATACCCAGGGAGGGGTGGGGAGGAGGTGTCCTTGGAGGTAGGGCCCTGCTGCCAGCAGGGTGTGGAGGAGGGAGGGGTGGCTGTCTCTTCTTGGACAGGCGCAAGGGCACAGCCCGTCCCAGGCAGGTGGGGGGCTCACCCCTTGCCCACTTTCCTGCCCCACAGCGTCCACCACCACCCCCACCCCCAGCTATGGTTCCCGGGGAGCAGGCTCCAAGGAGGCCCATTAGCCAGACCACCAGCTGCTGCCCCCTCCCCATACAAACCCTGGCCGCAAAGCGCCCTCCCCCCAGCTCTGCCCGCCTGCGGTGACAGCCTCTTGGCACCGGCTCTCCCCTTCCCTCCATCTGTCAGGAATCGGTACAGACAGACTGTGAGAACCACAAGAGGAAGTCGGGACTCTGCTCGGACCCTCCCTCCCCACTGCCTCCCCAGACTCCCCCACCCCACATCCTCTCTCTCCCCCTCCTCTCGGTCTTCCCTCCCCTTCTGTCTGTCTCCATCTTTTCCTACTGATGAAGACATTGACAAATGGGAGTCGGGAGGGGAAGAGGCCCAGTCAGCCACCACCTCCACTGACTTGAAACCACCACACAGCACGGCCACCCATTTGTCTTCATCCCTTGCCTTCCCCGTCCTTAAGGAGCTGGAATCCTGTGGGATTGTTGCCTCAGTGTCCCCATCTCTACAACTGGTGCAGTAAATCCTGCCAGGTCCACCTCCCAAGGGATGCTAGGAGCCCAGAGGCAATACGTGGAAAGGGTTTTGTCAACTGCACAGGCTTGTGCAAGGCTAATGGTTGGTGTCCCCAGCTTCTTCCTGTTTAGTGTGGGAATAAAGGCCCAGCCTGCCCTCCTCTTGGGAGAAGTCAGGCCAGAATGCAGCATGAGCAGACAGAAAAATGCCTTGGAGGATATAAATGGCAGCAGGAAGGCAAGGCATGGCCATCAGGGTAATGCTCCTCACTGCATCAGTGTGAGGGGAGCTGGGGAAACCAAGGCCCAGAGAGTAGCCACCCAGCTGCATTAGAGGCTGGATCGGAGCAATGGCCAGGCCCCCCAGTCCCACGATGCCAGCACCACAACCAGGATGCTCAGCCCTGGCTCTTCCGGACCTTCCAAGAGGCTCTGTTCCTCCAGTGTTTTCTCCCAAAATGTTGGAAAGAAATCAGCTTTCCCTTTTTTTAAGTAAGCCCTGCCCAACCCAGCCCACAGCACAGCCCACAGCTGATGGGGAAGCCCCGCTGCAGACCGGGGGGCATCCAGGGTGTGGCCAGGGGGCGCGAGGCACAGGCGGACTGGTCAATGTCTCATTTGATGTAGGACTTTTAGTTTTAAAACTGAGACGGTTCCCAGCTAACCAGGCTGAGTTGGTCACCCTACATGGGGTAGACACTCGGCAACACCAAAGTGCTGGGCAAATGCAGGGGTGGGCGTTTTCACTGAAGAGAGCAAAACCCTGCTCACCCCCCCACCGTGTGAGCTTGGCCAAGGCCCCAGAAGCCCGAAGGAGAGGAAGTCCTGGTCTAGCGGCAGTTTCAGGGCCTGTGGGGCCATGTCTGACACCGGCCACAGCACAGATGTGCCCAAGGAAGAGGGGGAGGGGTCATGGGTCCTTCACAGCTGAGGAAACTTGAGGTTCAGAGAAGGGAAGCGATTGCCAAGGTCACACACTGAGTTAGGCACCCGACACTCAGACAGGGCCCGGCTTTTCCATCCCCAGAGCCTCCCAGGTCCTGGGGGGGCCCTGGCACAGAAGAGAACTTCAGTGAAGGCTGGAGCTCGGACTCAAAGCTCTGGTCCACACCAGGCGCTTCCCCGGGACTCACAGGAACCCCCGCGCCCAGCACACACCACCCAGAGTGGGAAGGGGACTGGGCATGTGCAAAGCCAGAGAGTGCACCCCTTCTTCCTCCCCCCACTCTGCACGCCCTGGCCAGGTCCCCCTGCCCCATCCCCCTGAGGCCTGTGGTCTGAGGTGAACTGCAGACTTTTAATCAGACCACCCGGGTGCAGAGCGGCAAGGCCACAGATGAAGGACACAGGGACAGGGGAGCCCAGAGGAGGCCCCGACCCATCTGGGGTGGAGGCTCCTGGAAATGGTGACTCTTGAGGTAAAGCAGGGTTGGACAAGCAGAGCAAGGGCCCTACAGGCAGAGGGACTCGCATGTGAGAGCATGATGCCCCTGTGACATTATTCCTCGCTTGGGGAATGGCTGGAGCATAGAGTCATGGGGTTTGGGGTACAAGTGGACGGTGAGGTCTGGGGCTGGAGAGATGCCAGGTGCGCATTAGGTCTTAAAGGGCCTTGAATATCAGGCAAACAGACTTGATCCTATGAGAGGCGGATGTCACAATAGGATGCTGAGCAAGGGCAGGACACAGCTCTACAGGTCTAAGAGCACTCAGCTGCATAACAGCGGACAGACAGAGGAAGAGAACGACATCAGGTCGGTGTGCCGCAGGTGTCCGGGGGGGCCACAGGAGGATGGGGAAAGGACCTGGCAGGTGACAGAGGAGGAATTGAAGGACTTGGCATCTTTAGAGGTGAGGGAGAGAGGGGCTGTGCTGACTCCAGGGTCCTGACCAAGGCCTGGGCAACACTCACGCTGGGCACTGGGCTCAGGGCAGAAGAGGTCCATCCACAGCCCCCCAGTGCTGTGTGCTGGGCCGCGGGGCCTCACAAGGCTGGCGCACTGCCAGCCTGCTGACCAAGAGACAAGCTGTCTGGAGAGATGCCACCTTTTCCTCCAGGCACGGCACAGCTGTCTTCACCCTCCACTCCCCTGGGAGGTGGGCTGCGGCTACAGGACGCAGCCAGCGTTTACAGGGCCCGAGCGTGCGCAGCCCACCAGGCCCTGAGCAGCAGGGGCCCGAGAGGGAGTGGGCCTTACCCGAGGCCACACAGCACGTCAGCTATCACAGGCCAGGAAGGGACACTGAGCAGGCCTGAGAAGGTGGGAGGCAATCTCTGTGAGCAGAGGCCCCAGAAACAGAGCTGGGACCTGAGGGGGGCAGGAAAGTCACAGGAGGCGGATCTGGGGTTGAAAGGAAGACAGATTTTCTAAGAGGAAGAGCTGTCCAGGGATAGAAGGAGCTATCCGGTCGGTTAGTGAGCTCTCTGTCCCTGGAGGCATTCAAGCCAAAGGTGGACACCCCCACTCCACCCCCTGCTGCTGAGGGAATTCCTGCATTGGGATGGGGGTGGGGAGGCTACTTTGGCCCAATAAGGATGCTGCTCCAGCCCCAAGAGCCACAGCTCACTCATTCATTCACTCAACACACATTCACCAAGGCCTGCTCTGCCAGGCCAGGGACAACAGGCACTGGGGGTGGGTGGGGCAGAACCAGAGAAGCCTCCTCTCTGAATCTTCCCCACCCCCATCCAGGGAACGTGAGGCTAGAGCTGGGCAGGGGACAGAGGGTGGAGGCCCTGGCTGTCCACGCTCCATGTCACAGGTCTGGCTCCTCCCCTCTAAGGGACCGAGCTCCTTTATCTTCCAGGGCACAGGGCCAAGTACTGGGCAGGGTCAGACACAATGCAACCTCCTCCTGCGCCCCACCCCTCCAGAGGTCCCCGAGGCTCTGGGCTCATTTCCTAATGAGGTCCCCGGAAGAACTCTTCCTAATTAAATTAGGACAGTAAGTTATGGCCTGGGCCACAGAAAGAAGGGGGTAAAAAGAGCCTTTTGGGGGGCTCCCTAGCCCCTCCCATTCCACCCAGCAGTGCAGCAGCCCACACAGGAGGGGATCCCTGAAGGACAGACGGGAGATAGAGGTTCAGAGGAGGAGGTCAAAATAAACCCAGAGATCCTCAACTGAGTACTGCCAGGCACTGCTCTTAGTACTTTTCGTAAATTAACTCACTCAATCCTCCAGCCACCTCAAAGGTTAGGTACTGATGGCTCCATTTTACAGACAAGGCACGTGCTCAAAGAGGTGAAGTAACTTTCCCAGGGTCGCACAGCCAGGGAGCCATGAAGTACGGACTTGCCCCCAGGCAGCCTGGTTAGAGGCCCTGTGTTATCTGTGCCACGGTAGAGCCTCTCATGGGTGAGGCTGTGCTTGCAGGAGCAGTCAGAGGTGGGGGGCCTGGGGGTCTTCACGTCTGCGGCTCCCACCTGGTTGCACAGCAAGGAGTCAGGCCTGGAAGGGGGTGGGAATCTGAATTTCAAAAGCTGCCCAAAGTGACTCAAACTCCTGATCCAATCCTAACTCCTTCCCAGTACAGGCGGGGAGACTGAGGCCCAGGGAGGAGCAGAGACTTGCTCAGGTCACTCAGCAAGTCGGTGACAAGGTGAGGCTACCTGGCTCCTGGTGCGGTGGGGCTGAGATCCTGGGGCTGGCTCTCAACAGGGTTCAGGTAACCAACAGCGGCAAGGGCTCAGCCTCTGTTCCTGGGGGAGAACTCGGCACAGGATCTGCACGCGTGGGAGAGGCCAAGGCCAGGGAGAGGGCGGGCGGGGTCTGGGAGAGGAGGCGGCCAAGAGATGGGCGGCAACCACACGGGTTGGGATGGCAGACCTCTGCGCCCTGGTGTGGCGCCATCCCTGGGGCAGGAAGAACCCACTGGCTGCACGGGACGCAATGAGGTTCCGGGTACTTTACAGGGGCCGGGAATGCTCACTGCCCACGTGTGCAGAGCAGGAGCCTGAGCTCAGGAGCCTGGCTGTCCCAACCAGGATGTGGAGGGACTACAGTGGAAACCCCCGTCTGGCCAACACTGGGAGGCCGCGCCTGTCCCTGCAGCCTCGAGAAGCAGGCAGTTGTGGCAGGTGGGGGAGGGGACGGGGAAGGGACACCAAGAACGTCATCCACACAGCTGATATCAAGTCTGCCCCGGCTGCTGGCGGGTATTAAAGAGTCGGCGGGGTCAGACTCAGCAAAAAAAGAAACAAGCAGAAACGCCTGAGTGGATGGAGGTTCTGCTAATAGATAGTCGGGTCCGGCTCTGCACGTTCAGGTTGGGCCACGTTCCTGTGGGAGGCGCTGGCCTGCACTGCACAGCCCCGGCTCCCTGTTCTGGGCCCCCTGGGCCTCAGAGGAGAGGGTCAGCTCCTTGGACCCCCCACACCTTGGGCCTCGCTGTGGCAGACTTCAGCTCCTGTGAACACCCTGGCTCTCAGGGGAAAACAGAAGAAGCCCAGAGAATTAGGGCTGAGAGGGGCCTGGAGATGCCCCACTCCCAATGAGCAGAGACCCCAAGAAGGCAGGGACCTGCTGATGGCCACCGGGCCATGGAGTTTGCACCAACCCCAGCCCTCGCTCAGGGTGGGGTGGGCAGGGGCCCGACGGCAGGCTGCAGGCTGAGGCTTGGTGGGGAGAGGCTGCCGTGGCGGGGGGCAGGCTGGGAACAGAGACGGCTGGCACCTCTCCAGCTACAAATAATTCCCCGCCACAAACAGCCCAGTGGGGGGCTTGGGCCTTGGCCTGGCTAGGCTGCCTTGGCGGGCGTGGGAGGAAGAGCGTCACCTTGGCCTCGCAGAATCTGGGTGTCCAGAACAGTCACCTCTCTCCTGGTACACATCCCTTCCTCAAGCACACACACCCCATGCACATGCACGTGTGCTTGTCACATGGCTGAGAGAGGGCTCTGAGGGTGAGGGGCAGCAGACGGCAGCTTGGGGTCCAGGAAGTGAAGGAGGGACCGGGGAGGAACGCTGGCCTGAACGTCCCTGGATTCAGGCCACCGGGAAAGCCCACCCTTGGCCTCCAGCTATCCACTCGAGCAGCTTCACCTGGGCCCGATGGGGCCTTCCAGCCTGTCATCAGCTGCCAATCCGGATACCCAACCATGCCAGGCCCGGCTGCTTAACCAGCTCCCCCAGGCCACCTGGGAAGCAGTCACCCCGGGGCCCCCCAGCAGATGGGAGAGGGATAAGATGCCTCCCACATCCCCCCCAGCCCGAGAGCCGCCACTCTCCCAGGCAGCCTCGAAGCTCCCGACTGGCCAGCTGACCACATCCCTCCTGCGGCCATCTCAGCAGTGCCCTCCTGCGTCCTTGGTGGAGGAGGAAAGCTGCTGACGGTCCCTTCTACTTGGTGTCCCCGTGCAGGGCCATGGGCTCGGGAAGGGGAAGGCGGATGCCCACTGTCAGGGCTGGGTTCTGGGCAGAGCACTCTGCACCCACCTGCGCCTCTGAGAGCTGGGCTCATTAGCCTGCTTCACAGACCAAGGGTCCAAAGTTCAGAATGGAAGGCCCACACCAGGGACCCCAGCCAGTGGGTGGTGGGGCTGGTGCGCCTAACACCATTTTTCTCCATCACTCACGCATCCACCCCAATCATGGCACAGGAAGAAGGCAGAAGGGAAAGTGGCCCAAGGAACCTGGGCCTCAGGGCTGAGTTCTGGAAGCAGAACCCAAAAAGTCCAGCTACCCTCCATCTGCCTGCCCAGAATCCACCTACCAAGCCAGCGACACTCCTACCAACCCTCACCAGGCAGCAAGGAGCTCGAGGGCCAAAGGTCTCCACCCCCAGGCCAGGACTGGCCCTGAGCCCAGCTCCAGGGACAAGGAATCTGCTCAGGGTGCTGGATGCAGGGCAGGTGGAGCAAGGACCAATGGGTAAAGGGGAAACGAAGGACAGAGAGGGATGCACGTCCGCCGAGAGGAGACCGTCACTAAATTTCGGAGGATTCACGCGAGGGATAGCATCCGGCCCTTGAAACAGTGACGTGAATCTGCTGTTATCAACATGGAAGCGCGTATGATGTCGGAAGACAACAACTGTCATAGCACATCCTCGTTTTTGTTAAAAAAAAAATACTTGCATTCATGCACACCAGCTCACATGTGGAGAAGAACCTGTGGGAGGTGCTGCTGACACGGGGAAATCACCCAGGTGACAGTCACCTTCCTCTTGTCACTTTTCCATACTGTCTGTGCTTCTTTTATTACAAGTATGAAATTACTTTTATATAATCAGAAGAAGTTACTGCCATTGGAAAAATAAATGAAGAAAATCAACCGAAGCGAGTGTCAGCTCAGCACTCCCCTAGCTGTGCGGCCCGGCTGAGCCCCTGTCCTCCCCGAGCCTCCAGGTCCTCACCAGGAAAATGGAGATGACAACTAACTCGGCGGCCACCTCCTCCCAGGACGGCTGCGACGCACAAATGCTGTGGTTCTAATTGGCTGAGGGGCTGGGACCCGAAACGGTCTCCAGAGTGGGAGCATAGAGTCCTTTGTGGCACCTCAAGGCCAGTGACCAGAGGAGGATGGTGGCCACAGGCCCATTCCCATGGACTCCTGGATTGGCAGTCCTGAGAGGTTTCGGGCTGTCCGTCCTGCCATGTTCCGAGGGGCAGGTGTGTGGAGGCCGTGGGGGACACAGGAGCCCAGGGCCCTGCCTCTCTGAGTGGGGCAGTCACCAGAGGGCGTTCCGGGCGACAGAGAGCATCCTGGGTTCCGCACCCCCAACACGGCCAGTTTGCGGGTACCTGGGCTGGGCCCTGACAGGGACACAGAGTCAGACCAGGTGCGGGGGCGGGGACCTCACTGTCGGACCCCTCCTGAGCCACTCCAGCTTCGGGGCTCTTCCCTGGGCCTGCGACAGACCACAGCTGGTGAGAGGAGCCAGGGTGGGCATGGCTGTCAATTAAAACTGCTGCCTGAGGGCCCACGTCCTGCCTGAGGGCACCCAAGGGCCAGGACTGCTCAGGAGGGAGAGGGACACCCTGGGCAGGGGCTGGCAGAGAGGGACGCCTGGGTGCCTGGAAGGGAAGGCAGGCGGCAGGCACACTGTGGTTATGGCTGGGACCTGTGAAGGCCTGTCTCCCTCTCGCTGCAGCCAGCCAGGCGTGGCCCCCTCCTGCCACTGCCCATGGCCGCCGGGGATCAACTTCCCTGGGCTCTTCCTCAGCGAGGTGCGGTGACAGTGGGGCGGGGCATGGCCGGGGTCCTGCAGGAGCAGCCCCCAGCAGGGCCTCGCCTGTGGCTTCTTCTGCCAATCGATGCTGTTATTTCAGTGAGCTCCCAGCAGTCTGGGCAGGCAGGGCCAGGCCACGGCAGTGGTGGCCCGATGGCCCTGTGGGAGCCCAGAGCCCTTTCCGTGCAGGTTGACTTGCTGCAGTCCCAACCCCGCAGGAGACGGCAGACGGTGACGGTGGCGGTGGGTGGGAGGGCACTGTTCCCACTGGAGTCCCGCTGGAACGGAGGACACCCCAGCTCTGAGAATGGGTCCCCATTGGCACCTGGAGTGGATCTCCGGCTGCCAGGGCCCTGGTTTCACCGTCTGAAGCCTCGGCTGCAAACGCTCCTGTTGCAGGGCAAGCACCAAGAAGCCCAGGCCTGCGGCCGGCCGCTGCCTCACGGGTGCTTTCTGGGCTTCAGGTGACCCAGCTCACAAGAGGGGCCTGGTTACGGTCCCTAAAGGACGCCCAGCTCCCCTCTCCAGAGTCAAGGGCCCGTCAGGGCCTTCTCAGAAGCTCCTGAGGCCCCCATAGCTGACCAATATCTTACCGTCCAAAGTGTGACATTTCCTGAGTCCCATTCATCATTCACATGCCACCCTCAAATGATGCCTCTGTGCCCGGCCTTGTGGTCCTGTGGTCCCCCACCTCAAACTGCTCACAGACTCTCCCAAGCAACCCAGAGCTCCTACGATGGGCTGTGACATGGGTGCACAAGGCCGTGGGCATACAGACATGGGAGCAGTTACATCACACCAGGAAGATGGGGAGGACTTCATGGAGTGGCAACGAGCTGGGTTTTGAAGGATGAGTAGGAATCAGGGAAGGACAATCCAAGCAGAGGGGAAAGTATGTAGAGTCAGGGAATTCCATGGGGGTTCAGAGAAATGAAGACCACACTTGGGATGCTCTTGATGACTTGGGCTCTTGGAATTTTCCGGAGGAAGGATGGTAAAGGGGGAATGACACTTCCAGAGTGACTGGGGCCGACACTTCTTGAGGTCACCTGCATCAGCAACATGTTGCTAGGTCCTCAGTTTCCCTAATCTGTACAGTGGGAAGAATAATCACCACCTCACAGGCAATGGCCAAGGGAGGCCTTCGGAAATTCTGGAGGGTCACGACCATGGGAGGCTGGACAAGCGGGCCTTAGGTCGGGGCTATGGGGTCTCCAGAGAAGAGGCCCTCTCCCAGCCACAGCCCCCAGGCCAGGGAGGCACTGCCGGACATTGCGGCCACTCACCCGCTTCCTCCACACCCTCAGGGCCCCAGCCCCCACCCCCGCAGGGTGGACAGAGAGAGCTCGGCGAGGAGGAGCCTGAGGAAGACTCCGACCCAGCAGACGGACCTGGTCAGACAGATCCTGTCTCCACCACTAGAGAGTCATGACACTGGCTTAAGAGTCACTTCTCCCCTTTGAGCCTCAGTTGCATCTGTTATTAGTAACTCCCTTGAGGGAATTATTTATTTCGGAACCCCTAGGGCCCAGCACAAAGCTGGCAAGTGGACAACGTGGAGAAGAAGGATCTGAAATGAGGGAAGAACAAGGACACGTCGTGGGAGCTCAGGGACTGGGAGGCTGGAGGACAAGGGTCAGGGAAGGCCACCTGGGGGGGTGGCATCTCCACCAGGCCTTCAAAGACTGGGTGCTCTGCATGTGCAGCGTCTGCAGGGCTGGTGTTGGCGGTGCTGTTAGAACTGGGGCCCCGGGCCTGGTTCCACAGCCCCAGAACACAGCCCCGCACCCTCCCACAGGCCCTGGCCTGGCTTCCTGGGGGCAGCGCAGGCCTGGCGTCTGACCACGAACCCTGAGGCCAGGAAAGCTTCCACTTGGCCACATCCCTTTGGAGAGGGGACACACGCAGCCCACTCCATCAGCCCTCGGGGCTTCTTCTCGCCCTCTCCCGGGGGGCTTCTCTCTAGCTTCACTTGCTGCAGCTACTTCCCCAAGGAGGGGAAACTGTCAAGTCAGCTGCCTGCAGACGGCTGGGGGGGACAAGCCGGCCAGCCCTGAGCCTGCTTCACCGGGGCCCCCAGCAGGCCTGGGAAAGCCAAGGGGCCCCAGAGGGGAACTCGGTCCCAGGGGGTCAGGTGAGAAGGCCCACGGGAGAGCCTTCAGCACACAGTCCCAAGGCCTGCGGGGGCCAGCCCTGGAGGCACAGCCCTGGGCCTAGAGAAGAGGGGAGCTTGGGGCCTGCTGGGCAGAGCCCTGGGGGCTGTGGGGCTTGCCCCCCTTTCCAGGAACAGCCAGGAGGAAGGGAGCGCAAGGCCAGACAGGACGACTAGCCTTGGGACATGCCCATGGCCCAAGGGAGGCTCTCCTCTGCCGCTCCCAGGGCCCCAGGCCACTCACTCACTGAGAACAACCAGGCCTGCTTGCCTCCTGCCTTCCCTCGGCCCCTCCCTGGGCAACTTTCTCCACTTCCAGGTCCATCTCAGGGCTGATGGCATCGGGCCACCTGCACTGTGGCTGAAGCCAACCCCCGCTGCAGGAGCCTTCAGACATCTGGCTAACAAATGGAGGCGGGGGAAGCAGGGGTCTGGGTAGGCAGGGACCTAGAACCTCAGCGAAACTCCACCCTCCAACAACGGTCAGACCCAGCGCCATTCACTGATCACTCACTGTGCACCAGGCACATCATCTCGTTTAATCCTCACATCTCCACGTGGGAGACGCTGTTGTCACTCCCAAGGCCATTCAGCCAGGGTGACTGCTCTGATAGAAAACCAGGTGTGTCTGATTCAGGACTCCACTGAGTTGTGATTTCAACACAGGTCCCTAAGTCCACTCTCCCAACTCCTGTATCTCAGCCTTAGAGAGACAGGGTAGCCGTGAGGGCTTCCTGGAGGAGGTGACACCTGAGCTGAATCTTCTAAGATAACAAAAAGAAGGTAGCCCGGTGAGGGAGCTGAAAGAGTATTCCAGGCAGACAGAATGGCATGTGCAAAGGCCTGGAGGTCAGAAGCAGTAGGAGGGCCAGAGTGTGACAGAAGCTACAGTTTGGTGTCGCAGGCTCATAGGAAGAGGTGGGAAGAGGCAGGAGAGGAGTAGGCAACAGGAGCTGGTTACAGAGGTCCAAATGCAGAGGAATCTAAGCTGACTCTATCCTATGGGTATGTGGGAACCTCAGGAAGACAGAATGGTGGGGTCGCCTGGTAGAAGGAGGAACTGAGGTTCAGAGAGGAGAACTATCTGTCTGATGACTCCATCCACAAAAGGAGACCCAGCTGGGCCTGGTGTCCGGAGTGCGAGGACGGGGCCGAGGCCAAAAGCAGGTTGCAGCCCCGGCTGGGAGCTGTGGCGGAGCTCTAATTACACGGCTGCTTCCAGCAGGCCTCAGCTCCTGCAGCTGGGCGCCGCCCAGCAAGGAACGCTCGGCCACGGGAGACCTGGCTGCGGCCGCTCTTTATTAGAGCTGGGGCGGAGGGCTGAGGGGCTGGGGGAACAGGACAGCCCAAAGAAGCCTGAACAAGGGAGAGGAAGCTGAGCCCAGAACCGCTCCCTCATCTACCCACAAAGAGAAGTAGAGTTCTCCCAGAGTCTGGGGGGTTGGGGGCCTGATGTCATCTCAAGATGGGGAAACAGAGGCCTGGGAGGACTCGCCCAAGGTCACCAGCTAGGGCTTGAGACAGCACAGGCTCCAGAGTTGGGCACCTGCATTCACACCCCAGCGATTTCACTTAAAAATCATACACCTTTAAGCCCGTTACTTCGCCCCTCTGTGCCTTTGTAAAATGGGGTGAATGCGGATGCTTCCCAGAGCTGCCCCACTGTCCAGAATGGAAGCAGGCGACCCGTGGAGACTCGGCACAGGGCCTGGTCCTCAGCAAGTGCTCGCTGTTGCTGCTGTTACTCTGGGAGCAGAGGGGTGGCCCGTCTCCGGCCCCAGACACTAAGGAGCAACAGGAAACTGAGGCCAAGGGGCCAGCTGGCCTACGTGACCCAGGTCCACGCCACCTCCCCTGGCTGGGCCGCCCCTGGGCTTCCTTGGGCCTGGCCCTCCGGCTTCCAGCCCCTTCCTCCACTTTGAAGGCCCTTTGAGCAGGGAACTGAAGCCCCAGGAGCTTTTCCTGCCCCATCCTGCCGGCTCTATTCGTGTCTCCAAAGGGCCAAGTGCCACTTGCTGTGGATGAGGAGCAGGACTTAGAAGGCCTTAGCTGGAGTTCCGGCTCCAACCCTGAGAAGCTGTGGGACTTTGGGGGACTCATTTCACCTCTCTGAACCCCAGTTTCCTCCTCCATGATATGGGGACTGTATCACCTATGTTCAAATGGTAAGCCCCGAGGGAACGGGATTTCTTTCAAGGCCTGGCTTAGCTGTCTCCTCCTCCAGGAAGCCTCCCTTGGCTTCCTCAACATACAAGTTCCCTCCGTCAGCTCTCGATAACCACCAGCCGCATTCTGGCCCCACTGGGAGCTTGAACTCATTTGCCTCACACAGACTTCACTTACAAATTGCAATCCCCACTTTGCAGGCCCAGAGAGGCACAGAGGTGAGCGGCTCAGCCCTTCACCGGGTGGAAGGGTTGGAGTGCTGAAGGAGGGGGTCGGATATAAGGCACAGAGGAGCCAAAGCCCGGGGGAGGACAGTTGGAAGAACGCAGTTTGAGCAGGTGGCCAGAATAGGGGGGACTCCCCAGAGGGGGACGGAAGGGGTGAGGAAAGACCACTTTCAAACACCTGGCCCGACACAGCCACCCGAAGCCCCCGCCCCCTTTCTTGAGGTTTCTCTTTGTGGCTCCCAGGGGTCCCTTTCGAAAGACCTCGGAGGGGTGAATGCTTACCCCTCCCCTTCTCCTGGCCAGCCCTGTGGGAAGACTTCCTACACGTGTAACCTGCGCCAGAGGAACAGCACCTGTCGCCACCCCCGCCCAGCCCAGGCAGATGAGGAAACAGGCTCAGGAAAGTGGGGCCGTGGAGGACAACACTGGGTACCAACAGCCAAGCCCCCTCCCTCCACGTCCTCCAGCTCATCTGCTTTTGTTCACTAACTCTCCGCCTATGATTCTGCCCGTCCATCTCAGCCCCAAAGCAGGAGCCCAGATGGACCATCAGAGCCCCCCTGGACCCCTCTAGGGCCACCCAGCCACCCACCACTTCTCTTCTCCATCTTGCCCAGAACCTCGCATGGAGATGAAAAGCGACAGGCCCCACATTCAGAGTCTGGCTTTCCAGCCCCTGGATCACCCTCCTGGGTCCTTCTGCGCCACACTCCCCACCGCAGCAGACGGTGCTCCTGAGCTAGGAGGCAGGCGGACATCCTGACCAAGTTCTGTCACTCAGCTGTGTGACCCTGGGCAAATCACTCAACTTCTCTGAGCCAGCATCCTTATCTACAAATGGGACGACAGGATGAACTTCTGCTCCTCACAGCCACCCTCACGAGACCGTTATATAGATTCAGGGAGATAAGGTAAAACTAGCCCAGAGATGCAGTTTCTACTTCCCTGCCTCATCCTTGGCACTCACGCTGTGAGGGGACCACAAAGAGCAGCTCCCAGTGATGAGAGCCACTTTAACGCTCTACCGTGGCACAGCCATGTTCCTAACCTCAGCAGCTCTGGGGAATGGCCGGGCTCGCGATTAGGCTAAGAACTCTGGAGTGAGATGCTGGAATTCAAGCTCCTACTTAGCAGCTGATAGCCGTGGCACTTGACCTCTCCCAGTCTTTTTGTTTAGTCTGTAAAGAAGGACTGTTCTGAAGACTAAGGATTTATATAAGATAAGCCCTTCCCACAGGGCCTGGCACACGGCTGCCAGTCAGCACGTTACTCATTACTCCCAATTATGCCACTAGACCTGGTCCTCAGAACCAGGGCAGGAATCATTAGCCCAGTGGTCAGGTGAGGAAACTGAGGCGGGAGGCAAGGATGTGCCCAAGTCACAGTCGACCTGGGTTGGGTCTGAGAAATGAACCTGGCGGCTGACTGGCAAACGCCAGAAAAAAACCCTGGAGGACTGAACAGACAAGGCCTGACCAGGTGTCCCTCTACCCCCGTCCTGAGTGGAGTTGTGGGTCTGCCCACCTGGGGCCCTCCTCCGTCAGACGCTCTGCTCCCGGGCCTAAGGGGTGGCCTGTTCCCCAAAGCGCGCCAGTGCCCGGCACACAGCGGGCGCTCAGGGACGAGGAATGAATGACCGAGGGATGGATGACCGCCGGGGTCCTGTTTTTCTGTTCCTGGAACGACACTCCTTCCACGGCCCAACTGCCCGCTAACTGCATCCTGTCCCAGACATCCAAAACCGCGTGCACCCCAAGAAAGAACTTCCAAAGCAGTCACCCCCGCGTGCAGAAACACCACACTTGGCAAGGGCGGCCAGCTCCCCCGCACATGGCCGGGGGTTCACGCGCGGCCTCGGGATCCCACGCCCCCTTCCAGGAAACAAACTCTTCCTCCTGGCCCCCTCCTTCCTGGTCTGCCCCATGACTCATGCCAGAGCCGGGCGGGCAGGAGAGCGCGGTTAACCAGGGTGGCACGGAGACGCCTTCACCGTGACTAGGCAGAACAGCAGCGGCCCCGCCTGCACCTACTTCCCGGGGGACGCGCGCGGGGGCGGGGCCGGGGCAGGGCCCCCGCGCCCCGGGCGCCGGAAAACTGCACACACACCCGCTCCGCCATTGGCCGCTCCGGCCACGGGGACCTGTGGGGTGGTCCTCGCCCAGCCAATCAGGGGCCCCGGGGAGCCCATTCATTCACAAACCCCAGCAGGAAAAGAAGCGCGGCGAGGCCCGGCGCTGCGTGGAACTTTGAAGCCCGCGCGCGGTGCGCGGGGCCGAGGCAGGAGTCCGGAAGGGCTCGAGCGCAGAAAGCGACGCGCGTGCGGGGACCGTCGCGTCCCCGCCCACAGCTCTGGCCCAGCGAGCCAGGCGAGGCGCGCCCTTCTCCCGGGCCGCGCCGCCCCGGGCTCCGCCTCCGGCCCATTAGGACGCGCCGGCCGCAGCTCCAGGCGTGTCGCTGAGAGCCATTCAGCCCCGAGGGAAGCGGCGCCCAGTTAGCTTCCTGGCTGCGGGCTCCGGCGATGAGGTCCACGCAGGTGGCCAGGCGGCGGCGGCGGCGGCGGCCACGTGCGCGCTCAGCATGGCGCCCCCCACCGTTCCATCTCCCCCCGCCGGCCACTCACGGCAGTCGTCCTCGTCGCTGTTGTCCGAGCAGTCGTCATCCTCGTCGCATCTCCACACGGAGGGGATACAGCGTTCGTTCCGGCACCGGAACTGGTTCTCTTCGCACTCCTTGACCGACCCTGCGCGGGGGAGAGGGGGCGTGAGCCGGATCCGCACCGGCCATGCAGTCCTGGCCGCGGGGAGGGGTCTACTGGGGTGAAGGAAAGGGGGCGATGCTGGAGCCAACGGCCACGGGGCCCTCGGGCACCCTCGATCCGGAAGGAGGGCAGGATGGTAGGGGTTCCTGTGATGGCGGGCTGCTCCGTGGCACGAGGCTAGGCATACACAGTGGGTGTCACACGATTTAGGTATACCTCCCATTCAGACACGCACACCCGCACACTCGGCGCACAGTCAGAGATCCACGCAGACACAACCCACAGGGAGCACCCGAAACGCCGGGACACACGCAGTGGGCGCTGCGGGCACATCCCCCTCGCATGCATCCCCTCTTTCAAGGCGACGCGCAGAGTTCCCCGGAAACGTATTGTCAGGCAGGGAAGTCGCCAAGGCTCCGCTCACGGCCGCCGCAGAGCGCGCGCGTCCAATAAACCCCAACGGCGAGAATCACACAGCCCACCCGAAACCGTCAATGACCATCCCCCGCAAAGTTCCCGGCAGGCCAGGCCCCCACTGCGCCCATCCCCCAAGAGCAGGTGCCCGAGGGCAGAGCCCACGCCACAGGGAGCCGGGGGGCGGGGGGTCGAGGGCAAATGAAGGGATAGCGGGGTCTCGAGGAGCCTACCCCACCTGGGCGCCTCGGCCAGGCCCGGACTCGGGGGCCTCGCCGCCCCCCGCCCCCCGGTGGAAAGCGCCGGGCCGCGCTTTGTCGGCGACTGTGGCGGCGCAGAGCCGGGCCAGGGACCGGCCGCACGCACCTTGGCCGCCGCGCAGAGGATCCGCCGCCGCCGCGAGATGCTGGAGCCGCAGCAGCAGCAGCAGCAGCAGCAGCGCCAGCGGCCGGAGCGCGCCCCGCTCGGGGCGGCCCATGGCGGCCCCGGGCTCCGGCCGCCGCGCCCCACGCACCCGGTGCCGCCGCCGCCGCCGCGCCTCAGCCCGCCGAGTCCTTGCCGCGGCGCCGGGGCTGCCGCTGCCCCCGCCGCCGCCGCCGCCGCTGCCGCCCGCCCCGGCTCCTCGGCTGCATTTCAAGCAGGTTCGGTGACGCTCGGCGGCGGGGCGGGCTCAGGCTGGGCGCGCGGCCCCGGCCCTGAGCGGCCGCCGCCGGCGCGCGCGCCGCCCCCCGCTGCCGCCTCCGCCCAGCGCTCCTCCCGCCGCCGCCTCCTGCCCTACCTCCCTTGCGTCCTTGGTCCCCTCCTTCCCTAGCCGGCGCTCGGTGACCCTGCTCTGGGCCTGCCCGCGTGCTGGGCGCTGCAGACTCTGGGATGAGCCGGGCGAGGCCCCTGCCCCCAAAGGTAGCCCACCGTCCGGGGGAAGCAGCACAGGCTGCCTGGAGGAGGTGACAGGCTGAGGGATGCCTACGAGTGAACCTGGGCGGAGGGGAGAGAACGTGCTCGGGTGCACAGGCCTCTGCAGTGTGCACATGGAGCAGGAGGGGTGGTAGATAGGGGTTGGGGTACCAGGATGTGTGTGATCAGGGAGAAACTGGGGGAAGGGGACTGGACCTCTGCACCCCTCACCAGCTCCCACCCAGCTATTGCACATCCGTGTAGCTAGTTAATGTGCCCGTGTGTATCTGTGCATGTTACACGCTCACGTGACCACAGCCAAGGATGCGAGGCAGGTGGCTTGGGCCTGGCCCACAGGCTTTATTCACTCCTCCTTATTCCGTACTCTCCATGGCGCCAGGGAGACGGGCAGACAATCAAGGGGACCGGCAGGGACAACACATTAGTTCTTGCTGTGATGGAGAGAGCAGGACTGTGGGGCCCCACAGAAGGGACATGTCATCCCTGCTAGTAGGGGACACACACCCAGGGCCTCTGTCCATCCCTGCTGGCCTCTGCGTGAATGAGAAGGCCCCTCCTCTGGAAGGTCACAGAGCTGCCTTACTCGTGCCAGACTTCAGGGTTTGGAGAGAAGACCTGGGACTGGGTTTTAGCTGCCTGCTGGTAAGCCAGGCCCAACCCACACAACCTTCTTTGGACAATGAGGTTTGGGGGCATCGGCCGCTAAAAGAGACAGGCTTACAGGTGCCTAGGTCCGCTGTAGGTCTGCCCTCCCATCCCCTCTTGCCCCCTCACCTCCATGGCAGAGGGGTAGGAAAAGGGGCTTCAGGAGCTGTTAGCCCCAGGCCTGGAAGCCACTCTGCCGAGTCGGCAGCCTCCTGAGCCCTACTACTTCCCACAAAGGGCAGCCCCCTTGGCAATGGCTGTGGCTGCCCCACAGGAGAGAGGTGCAGACCTCAGAGAGCGCAGCGGGTGCTCCTGCCATTACCCCTTCTATCCTTCGTTCATTCTGTTATCCAACAAGCATATTCCAGCCCTGCTCTGTGTCAACCCTGTCCTGGGCCTAGGGTGCCAAGGCGAATCAGACATGCTACCAGCCCTGGTGAGGTCCCTGACTGATGGGAGACAGACCATCCACAGGCAGACAGTGAAATGCAAGCGTGCTTTCAACAGAAACTCAGGGAACACCTACTGGTGCCAGGCATTGCCGGAGGCCGGGGATACAGTGTGGAAATAGATCCCTCCTTGCTCTCCGGCAGCCTACGTCTTAGTTGGGAGAGAGACACACAAAAGCAAGGAAAGAAAAAAGATCATTGCAGATCATTGTAACTGCTATGGAAAAAATAAAGCAGGGTGATAGAGAGCGATGGGAGGCAGCTCTAGAGAGGTGATCAGGAAGGGCCTCTCTGCAGAGGTGACATTCCGCTGATGGCAGGAAGGAGCCTGCTGTAGAGGGATGTTTGTGTCCTCCCAAAATTCCTATCCTGAACCTAACCCCCAGTGTGGGGGTGTTTGGAGGTGGGGCTTTGGGAAGCAATGAGGACATGAATGAGATTAGTGCCCTTTTAAAGAGGCCGCAGAGAGATCTCTGGCCCGTTCTGCCACGCGAGGACACAGCGAGAAGATGGCCGTCTGTGAACCGGGAAGTGGGTTCTCACCAGACACCAAATCTTCGGGCATCTTGATCTTTCAGTAGCTTGACCTTGGACTTCCCAGCCTCCAGACCCGTGAGAATTGAATTTCTATTGTTTATAAGCCACAAAATACCTATGGCAGCCCAAATGGACGAAGACAGAGCCCAGCCACATGAAGATCAGGTGGAAGGGTGTTCCTGGCAGAGGGAATAGTGGTGCAGAGGCCTTGAGGTGGGTTGGAGGGTGGTGATGAGGAGAGGGTGGGTGAACCAGGTGAGGTCAGAGGGAGTCAGCAAGGCCCTGATCAAGGAGTTTGGATTTTGTTCCAGGCACAGTGGTGCCCGCTGTGGAGCCCAGGATGAAGCCCCTCCTGCATCCCAGATTGACCTCTCCAGCTCAGCCCCTCCTCCTTCACTCTGTCGTCTTAGGAAAGTCAGTCCCCATCTCTGAGCCTCAGTTTCTCATCTGCAAAGTGGGGAGACAGAATTCCAAGGTCCATTCTAGGTTTTTTTCTTTTCTTTTCTTTTTTTTTTTTTTTGAGGAAGATTAGCCCTGAGCTAACTGCTGCCAATCCTCCCCTTTTTTGCTGAGGAAGGCTGGCCCTGAGCTAACATCCGTGCCCATCTTCCTCCACTTTATATGTGGGAAGCCTACCACAGCATGGCGTGCCAAGCGGTGCCATGTCCGCACCCGGGATCCGAACCGGCGAACCCCGGGCCGCCGAAGCTGAACGTGCACACTTAACCGCTGCGCCACCGGGCCGGCCCCAGTTCATTCTAGTTTTAAGATCATTGTGTGGATTGAAGTTCAGAAGCAGCAAGACAGAGAGATTAAGAGCATGGGCTCTGGGTCAGACGGCCCGGGTTTAAGTCTGTTCCTTCCCTTCCTGGCTAAGCGACCTTGGGCCACTCTCTTACCCTCTGTGGCTCAGTTCTTCATCTATAAAATGGGAATGATGCCAGGACTCACAGGGTTGTGAGGATGATATTAGATGAGATTATGTATGCACAGCAGGCGGTTCAAACATAATTCCCTTTTCAAAAACCCCTGATGACCTCCCAACCCTCGAAGAGTGAAGACTGAGCCCAGGAATTCCCCGACCTCGCCTCCAAAGGGGGGTCTTTGCTCATTCATCTCACACACGTCCAGTTGCCAAAATGGACAGCTCCTCGTCTCTCGACAGCCCCCTCCTCGTAGGTTCTCCAGGCTCCTCTCAGCCCCCACCCAACTGGGTCACTTCCCTCTCTCCCTAGTCAGCCTGCAAACTCCCTGGGAACAGGAAGCAGCCCTCCTGCATTGCTGCGTCCCTGGCCCAGACACAGCAGGCCAATGTTTGCTCAAGGTTCCTGCACCCCTCGGAAGACTGTCTTACTCATCCTTGTTTTCGGAGGATAAATACAAGGCTTGGCACATAACAAGCATTAGATAAATGATGTTTAAATACTTGAAAAAGTTAAAAGGAAACTTTACCAAGTTATAATAATTGCCAATACTTATTGCACCCTTGCTGGGGGTTAGGCACCATCTTAAGTGTTTGAAATGCTTTAACTCATTTAGTCCTTACAGTATCCCCATGAGGCAGGTTTTATGTTTATCCCATTTTACAGATGAGCAAAGTGAGGAATGGGGAGGACACACAGCTGTTAAATGGCGGAGCCGGCCTTCGAACCCAGATGGCAGAATTGGGAATTTTTCAGGGCGTGTCAGCGGGTTAATTTCAGTGAGGAGCAAATGGAGAAAGCCCAGCCCTTGGCACACGCCAGACACCAAATGGGTGCTGAGGTCCTGGCACAGCCTCTGCTGCCTGGGCGACTTCTTGTCCTCACCTGTCCTCTCTCTCCACCCAGGGCTGACTCAATCATACGGGCCTTGCCTGCTCCCAGGTTCCCCAAGAAAACCCTCAAACCCATCCC